ATTAAGTTATTTAAGCACCATCTCTCCTTTCTAAGTTTGAGCTGACTACTTTTGGCCAGTCTGGCTCAGTACAACCCATTTCAGTTTGTAAACAGCATTTGTTGCCAATGCTAAGTTGAAATGCACAGATCTTTATTCTCCTTTCCCTAACTTAGGTTGTCATTTTCATCAGCACTTTGTTGGTAGAGACAAAAAAAAAAAAAATTAATTTTGATGGCCATTACAGAAGAATACGCAACTGCATATTTTAACCATTTTTGCTAACTGAATCCCAGCTTTTCCCAGTATCATAATATTAGACTTCTTTGCAGTAAAGATTTCCAATATTTACAATGCTTAGACAAACCCTTAAGAAAAGGGTTTTTCCACAGTGAATCACAAACTGTATATTTTAGGAAACAGCACTTCAAGGACAGATATAACGCACTAAGAAATTATGTGGGAAGAGAAACAGCATTGGTGTTTTCAGCTGCTGTGATGCAGAGTGCTTCCAAAAAGTGCGGTAAAACCTACAGAGGAGCTCCTGCAGCCTCTTTTCCAGAAGAAAAGAAAAATGCTATTAGTGATATTTCTACATCTACTGAGTCAAGCAGTTATTTCAAACATTTGACAGTGATTTCCAGGAGTCTGTTAGATCTGAGATACCTGCTCAGACACAGGGGATGGAAGAAGTTAAGAACTAGGATTACCTAAGAAAGAATTTTAGCTATAAGCCATTTTTAGGTTTTAATACAGCCATTTCTTACTATATTTATTATTTATTCCAGCCAGAACAAACAGAAAAGTTTTTTCCTGTAATTGTATTAAAGAACATTGATAAGATTCCCAAAGCTATTACTAATTATAACAATTAGAAGAAAATTGTGTGGTTAATGACAAACCTTTTCTTTCTTCTGTTCATTTTGTTTCCTACCCCTGTACCCTATACACACACTCAGAAGTCTCTGCAGCTTTGGTCTCTTTCATCAGCCCCTACTTTCCTGCCCTGAGAGGAGAGAGACGAGCTACCCTCTGCCCTTCAGCTTCATGGTATGTTTTTCACCCCTAGGCAGCTGCACACAAAGTAGCCCGCCCAGGCTTGCAGGCCCTACTCCCTGTGCTCTACAGTCACCTTTTCAAGACCATCATTGAGAAGTGATGGATCAAGGCAGGGAGATACTCCTGAATGCAAATACCTCCTCTTGCAGGAATAATTAAATATACGCTGAATTCAACACAGCACACGTCAATCACTTCCGATATTTTAAGAAATCCACTCCTCTTTCATAGTCAATTGATGAATCCTGAAATGACGGCTGCGACAATAGCTGTTGGTTTTAAAGTTCTTTTGACATAAAATGCATTGAACCCCCCTGAATTAAAAAAAAACGTTTTGTCTTCTTACTCTCAGATGAGCACAGAAACAAAAGCTTGTTAGCTTCTATTTTCTTGAGCAACTGTAACTAAGGCATAAATTCTTTTTTTTAAATGAGGTGTACGTTTTATATTCAATGCACAAATAATTTTACTACATCCTTTGAATGCTCAATTTTCAGAATGAATTTTCTTGTTCAATTCTTCAGCTTTCCTTTGCGTGCTTCCGCTCACCCAACTCCTTCCTTTCCACTTTTAATTGAAATGCAATTTTGTTGCCAGGTTCAACCACAACTTTATTTGACAGGTCTACAGAGGCAGCTCCAGCACAAGCCAGGAGCCAGCGCAAGGGGTACTGTAAGTTCCGTGAACTTGAGCAGTTAGTAAGATGCCTAAGAAACGAAGGATATAAAGCCACACAGGAGTACAAAAGAACTGAACAAATCCTACTGTACTGAAACTCTTCACACCAGAAGATGGATGGATAGCTGTCAAGCTTTTCATAGGTATACAAAAAGCCATGGTTTTGCAGAAAGCATTACAATAACAAACTAGATGTTTACAACAGTGAAAGGCAATATGCGTGAAAGCAAAAAGTGTTCATTTGCAGGTACTTATCTAGCAAGTAGCTTTGGCTAATTCCAACTTTTGCTAAGAGAAGCAGACAACATGCTGGCTGACAGCACTCAAGAGATGACCAAGAAGCACAATCTACAGAAGTCCTTCAGTCTTCTTAAGGAGCGACAGAAGTCGCTCACGTTTTATGGAAGATGCAAAGAGATCAGAGGGGTGGAAGGAAACGAAGGGAAGGGTGATGCAGTCCAAGTAACAGACTAGCAAAATTACCCATACAGATTCTGGGTAAAAGCAGGGCAATATTGCACTTTACAGCCAGAAATGAGACTTCAGCAAAACAATCAAAATATAAAAGTCAGAAGAGGATGGACAAAGTATAATTTACATTACCTTCCTGTTCAAGCACTTTGGAGATAGTACACAGACCACAGTGTCAAGACCTAGACATAGCCTAGAAGTGAAAGCTTGGGGGGAAAGAGAGGTCATGCATAGAAGTCAGTAATGATGCCCGGGTACGGAACTCAGCAACAGGCCCAATATTGCACAGCGGCTCTGTACAGAGGGAGTTTGCTATTTCTAATGGATGTCACAGACAAGTTATCTATTGAAGCACTTAAGCTACCCACATGGATTCTACATACTCTCCTGTTCTTTTTATTCATATCAAAACTACTGTATTTTCTTAGTGCTGCATTTCCTAGAAGCAGACGTGTTCTTCCACACTTTATCACACTACATTCAGAGCTATTTACATAGAGCTCTGTCCTTTCATGCTGCAACCAGGGTTGTTCTGGCCCTTTTTCTGACAGCTGGAGGAATACAGAAAGTCAAAACATCAGTTCTAGCAGTGACAGATCAGATTCAGGTAAATTGCTGCAAAGTAAATTCTAACAAAAGAAAGCAACACCTGGTTCTTGATCAAGCCAAAAGCAAACAAAAAGGTGGGAAATGCACAGAAAGGATACACCAGACAACTGCTGCTGGGTTGACATGAACAGTCAAGGGTAGACAGTAACCTTGCTTCTGACTGTATCAGGTACTCTGTAATATATTTCTTCTTTTTCTTTCCCTCACACTTTAGTTCTACCACAGGAAATCTACACACTAAACAAATGACAGGTTTGCAGCATTTAATCCTATTCACTTCAATCAATCCATCTCAGGATGATCTAATCTAAGCTAATGCCCATCTAAAGAGAAAGTTCCTCTCCTCTCTCACCCCATTTTCTAGGTTCTTGGCTCACAGCTGCAAGCTCTTCCCCTTCCCGAACCTTAACCACAGCTTTGGGGCTCACTTGGACTTCATCATGACCAAGTTCAATCTACTAACTGGATGGCAAATTAATCCAACAAAACCAGAATATTTTCCTTCTGGGCTGGTGATTGGAAGAGGCTTAGCCACTACTGGTACTGCAAGTTACCTCAACAAAGGTAGCGGAGGAACTACATGGCAAAGAGCTGGGAAAAGCAAGGCTTCTCATTTCAATGATGGTGGGCTCTTTTCACAGGACTCACTGTCTCATGGGATAATTCAACTGAAAAAGCAGAATCCCAGTCACTCCTACCTTCCTCCCAATGGCTTACTGCTCCCTAGTCAGTACCAGCACTACTTGTCACGAGACTGGCTTCATGATCCAGCAGAACTCACTGCAGCAGAGGAACACCCTGCTCCATCTTGCACGGCTTCCCTACTATGTTGATGAGCCAGAACTGCAATTTCACCTCAGCGGCACATGCAACCATCAAACTTGCAAATCTACTTTAAGCTTCACAGTTTGTAGTCACCAACTATTTCAGACTTACCATACTCTCTACACTATCGTAATCATTTCCTAGTACACATTTGCGACTGTAAATGCCCTCTTCCCCACCGATGAACTACAGAATAATCTAAAAGCTTCCAGCGCAGGGATCTCAGTTTTAATTTAGATACAAGCACGTGACAAATGGCTATAATGAACTAAGGACTTCAGTACCTGAAATCCAGACTTAGAACAGATTAAGCTTATTATTACTGCAATTTGATACACAGTCTAATGAAACCAACATACATGTGGCAATATTAAATCCAGATATATGGAATGAACTGGTTCATGTGAAAACAGAAGTGTGTTTATATACCATCGAGTGGTTAAAATAGTGATTAGCACTCATTCAACAGTCCTATTTCATATTAGCAACAAGTAAAGCAACTATAGAGGGCCTCATTTGACCTTAACTGTTAAGGACGTTATGTCAACATTTGTATAATCAAGTTAGTGCCCTGCTCTGACATATTAAGATAAAAGCTAGAAGTACCTCAAATAATGAGATCTTTATTTTTAATTACCCAGTGCCTTTAGGCAGCAATTACAATTAAAAAGACTACAAAAGAAATCTGGTTGACCTCCAGTTATTTCAATACTTGAGAGAACCAAGAAAAGGGCAGGGTTTGGAGCAAGTGATACCTATTCAATTCCTAATAGATGTAACTTATGCACGCAGTCCTTTTTTATGCTCTTAATGGTCCTACGTCAATGCAACTTTATGAATCTGGAGTGATGAAAGAATACAGAAATTTAATTTGTAGTTAAACACAGCTTAAAAAAATATTACTCCACCCTACAATTTTAGGTATTTCTTTAAGAAGTTCCCTTGTACTAATACCATTTTTTGGATTCTACAGGATTATTTTTCAAAGAGAAAAAAGTGAAGTCAACTGCTTTAAAGGCAATGTTAGTCTTATAAGATGTTTTCATGTGTATATGTATATACTAGCTTTTAACAACAGAGCATGCCTTTTTCTATTATACACACACAATCTTCCCCCTGCCCCGCAACTAAAAAGAATGCTTTATATTTCAATTGCACCAACATAACTATTAGACCATGCCACTGACCTTCCCCTACTGATGCATATCAGGTATTCCATACAGTTCCTTTCTATCTCCAGGGAAAGAGTTAAGTTTCTAATACACAAAGAGAATATTCTCTTTTACTACAGGTATTCTTAGCTTTAACATAAGATGCTTCATATAAGATTAAGATAACACACCATTAATCTAACCACATTCATTTGAATGTAAACTTACCTCTAAATATATCGATGGTGGGTTATGCTCTCCTCCAAATTTGTCTAGCAGTGCCTCTATATGTTCTTGTGTTAATTTAATCATCTGTTTGATATTCCACACCTAAAACAGAAAATTAAAATTTCTATAATCAAAAGGAGCCTAGACAATCTGTCCTAAAACAAATTACGTTTTCTTGATATTCAATAACGAAAGTCCATAATAAAAGTATTTTAATTATCAGTAAGAGAGTGAACAAAGCTATCCCGTTCATCCACTGTCAGTAAGACACAGCTGGCTTCCGAGATAAACAGAGAAAAATTAAATTTGGTTTTAAAATTCAGGAACCATTGAATAAACAACTTTTAAGAACAGTTTATTTTTCATGTTTATCAAAACCATATTAAGCATTTTCCTTGCAAGACTTTGCAACCCAATTTCTACAGTACTACAAAGTTTAGTGGAGGAGTTCTTCCATCAAACCTTAAGAAATCTGTGTAAACAACATTCACCAAACCCAGACCTAGTGTTCCATTTGCATGGGAATAGGATGTCTTGATCTTAAAAAGCACCTTCTATACCCTGACTTCTATACTCTGTTTACCCTGCAAGTTTTCTTACAGACCTTGGACACGAACTGAAAGAGACATCTATCTCTAGTGCACAGAGAAAACTTATGGCACTGTACTATGAAACAACTCAGGTTTTTACTTATTCTTCACAACACCCTGAAAGAATCAGTTTTAGGACTTTGAGACTATTGTAGGTGAACAGTATTATGAATCCTAATTTATACCTAAAAAGGCAGCGAAGCACAAACCAAACATTTAAAGCAATAATGCTACACTGATTTAAGAAGCTACTTTAGTCCAACCAAAGTCAGAAATTTATAGCGGGGGAAGAGGGAGGAAGAGGAGAATCTCTTCTTCATAGGTACTGTTATTCAGACTATTTATCAGGAAAAAAATGATTACATCAGAGTTATTAGACCCAGGATGGAAGAAATTAAGACAATATACACAGTGCTTCTTCCAAAGGGATTTTAAAGACTCCTGTTACCTTTTTCAGTTTAACTCTTATCTATTTCACAGATTATAATATATACAGCCTCAAGACCAGGTCTGGATTTACAAGTTGTGACAACCTACCTTTTTAAAAAGAAGATGCAAATAACTTTGTATTCTAAAGTAGGCACCAATAATAGGATCCAATCCAAGTTGGATCAAAACAAGTTTTACTATGTAACTTGAGATGTGCACAAAGAAACAAACCCTAAAATACAGAACTCACATTTTGCACACCACCTTATTTACCCTTCTAATTCTAGACATCAGTTATTTGCCAGTAATTTCCTAAAGTAAACTAATAATTGATTCACTTCTAGCCTAAGTTTTAGAACAGATACCAGAACAAAGATTTCATCAAGACGCTACAGTCAAGCAAAAATAGTTTGCTCAGGAACAAGCAACCCAAACTACAAAGAGCGAGGGGACACCAAACAGTGTGCTATTCAAGTATTCTATATGTAAATTCCCTTGAGGCGACTGTGGAAGTCAGCTTGCTTCTCAACTTGCAATCAATTTATCATGTTGAAGCTAGGACTGCCAACCAGTAGCAAAGAGAAGGATTTCTGTATTTTGCTAGTTTTTCCCAAGATGGCAAGAGCTAGTTGTACGGTTGGTGAAAAGAACAAGTTTGAATCAACACTATTTCAATTAACCTGTTCAATATAAGAGTTGAATTATATACTTCACTGACAAAGTAACCCAGAATCGCAGAAGGGTTGAGGTTGGAAAGGACCTCTGGAGTTCATCTGGTCCAACCCCCTACTCAAGCAGGTTGCCCAGGACCATGTCCAGATGGCTCTTGAGTATCTCCAAGGATGGAGACTCCACAGCCTCCCTGGGCAACCTGTGCCAGTGCTCAGTCACTCTCACAGAAAAAAAGTGCTTCCTGATGTTCAGAAGCAACCTCCTATGTTTCAGTTTGTGCCCATTGCCTCTGGTCCAGTCACTGGGCACCACTGAAAAGAGCCTGGCTCCGTCTTCCTTTCGCCAACCCTTAATCATCTTTGTGGCCCTTCACTGGACTCCCTCCAGTATGGCCATGTCTCTCTTGTACTGGGGAGCCCAGAACTGCACACAGCACTCCAGGTGCGGCCTCACCAGTGCTGAGCAGAATGAACCCCTGTCAGATGAGTTTCCAAATACTTTTTTTGAAGATTGATAATGGATAACTTCCTTGCTCATAGATTATTTTCTATTTTGTGCCATAACCACAACCTTGCTTCTCTCTTCTCTTACAGTAAAGATATAGAATAACAAATATAACTGAGCAACAGCAATATGCACAACAAAAGCATGTTATTTAGGAGATGTTGGCAAGAGAATCAAACAGCCCCTAACGAGGGCAGAAATCTCCCTACTAAGTTAATATCATGACAAGAGCAAAAACTGAGTGACTAATGAAGAAAATAAAAAATTTTGAAACTTACCGCCAGCTGCCAGGCTATGGCAAAAATGTCTTCACCTGAAGAAGCTGAAGTTAAAGTCTAGCGGAAGACAACATCGCTCAGAGGAGCTGAAAACAGTGCCCTGAATTACCTACTATACATCTGTGCACTAAACCAAGAGCCTTTCCACAAGCAAATCTTACAGGCAAACTTAATATGGATTTCTATCATCTTAGAAAGGCTATTCACACAGTTAAAAGTACGCTGAAGGCAGAAGGAAATTTATCAAAGTCAACCATAGCAACAAATCATTACTTGTTGCTCACAGAAATAGAAAACCTATTTCGTATGCCATATTCATCAAAAGTCTTCTGACAAGCTGAAAAAACTTTCACAAATCTAGTACCGACTAGCATATTCTATCCCTAATCAAGTACACACAAGAACACATACGCTATGGCAAATTTCCAAGCTTCACAATTTTCCTTTAAGTGGCAACTTCTACTTATTTTCACTTATAGAAAACTTAACTTCTGGCTTCCCGTATCAGTGAATATGGTTATACACAGTTTTTTATGGTCCCGAGTATCCCTTACCTAGCTAACTCCTTGACAACCAAGCCCTGTGCAAATATATTGCATATTTGGGGGGATCTGCAGGGGATCTATGACTGCTTCAATTCAATTGAAGGAACTTGAGCCTTTTCCTAACTGGAATTTGGAACTGGTGCTCTGTGCAAATGACCTCATGCGACTCAAAACTGTCTGCTTCTGCACACCACAGTACCCACAGCTTCCGTCTCACAAAAAATACACCATACCTGCTGCACTTAAACAGCCAGCAGAGCCAGCAACTTCAGCCTGCCTTTTCTCCTTGCAGACTTGCTTGTTCAGATAACTCATCTCAGCTAAGTTTGCATCATGTGCACCAGCCCAGACTTACAGACTTTGAGCCAAGACATATCCCCATCATCTCTGTGGAAAAAACCTGAAACACTAGGTTCTTAAGAATTACATCTCTTGAGTTCAGAAGCACTTGCAGATGTACGGGTTTCTTTGAACTGTCCAAATACAACTTAAGTATATTAAAATCCTCGGCAATTTTTCTAAGTGTCTCATTCCCCATAAGCACGTACATTCCAGGACAGCAGCAAAGAACTACCTCACAACAGAGACAGCAAAAATATGAAATACAGAATCCTTTTAGCAATCAGTTCTGGACCAAAGAGCTTGTTCCTAGACAACAGAATAAACCCAAGTTTTTCAAGCTAAATGCGTACAGCCTAATACCATTCCTTCCTCGAGATCTCACAGTAATCCCTTTATCCACACTTTATTCACACTTTCTCTGGAAGTAAAAGAAAGCTGCAAAAGCCTGCTGGTCATTAAGAAAGAACAGACCTATTTTTTGTTACTCTTATGAGCACTCCACTACACTTACGAAACTCCACACTTGTAGGAAACCATAAAACCACAGCTGCCAAGTATTTTGCAGAAATACAAAAACCGATGCCAGCCTAAGAGACGGTTACTAGAAATCTTAATGTATTCTGAAGTAAATCTGCAGTGCACCTAGTACTGTCCACATGCAAGTCCAGTCCCTCCCCACAGGAAGCAGCATGGTTATTTGAGACACACTGCTTCATTGTAGTTCCACGAAAAAGTAATGAATCCTTTACAGCTTGGATAACCTTATCATTTTTCCAAAAAAAGCCTCAAATACATTTTTCTGTCCTGTCTGATAGCATTAGGTTAAGGTTATTCTCTATCACAAGAGATTAGATTTGATTCCCCTTTTAGTGCTGCTGACACAAGGAAGCTGACGCAGGCCAACATGGACACAGGCAGCCAGAAGACTGGAAATATTCCAGATATACTGGAATATATCAACTTGTATCTGCCTATTGTGGATAATTGTGCATTAATTTTTCAAATAAGCACTCCCTTGCAATGTAATAAAGATGATGACCTATTTCAAGCCAGAGGCAAGTCAGATACAATAGAAGCCTAAATCCATTCTATTCAGAGAAGACTATGGCTCCACAAATGCAAGGCTATAAGCCACAAAGTTATTTTCGCATCCTTTGCTGCTTGTCAAAATACACAGTGCCTGAGACAGCACAAACCAAACTATCTTTTATACTTTTTGCACCTGGCATCAGTACTCAAATCTTGCAGCACATCCCAACTCTAAGCTCTATGATTCACATTTGGTAGCAGACACCTGAGAGTTCAAATCTATTCTGTAAAGAAAAAAAAGCCATTATTTGTCCAGGCATGGTATGTCCTGCATTTGGATTATCATACTTGGTGATGATGGAGAATACTTTGATAGAACCAACTAGGCGATTTAAAAAAAAAAACCAACAAAAAAACAACCCAACAAAACAATAATTAAGCATTTGATTTGGAAACTCTTTTATAAGGAGGACAAAATCATCAATACCTATCCAATGCTATTCTAATCAGTCCCTTCAGGCTTCTTTCTTACAGAATCAATTTGATTGTTTGGTGCACTGAGCTAGGATCCACTTTGTCAGAAAATACTTTAGAAAGCTGTCACGTATGAGATCGTTCTTAGCTGGACTAACGTCTTAACTAACTTGAAAGTGAAACGTTAGAGTGAAAGGGAGGCAAGAAGGCGTATGAATGGGCTTAATAATGCAGC